GGGAGTTCTGTTAACTTTAAATCTTTCTCTGATTGCATTTACGTACTGTAAATAAATCCTTCGGAATGTTTGGATGCATAAAACATAATTATTATAACTCTAACATCAGACGCAGACTTCAACAACGTTAAATTTCACGCATTTTTTTTTTATTTTCAGACACCGAAATAGTCAGATGACATTGTTTATGATTTTCCCAATATTGACATTTTGACAATATCCAAGTTTATATCTAAATTTTCAGAGTGCAATATTGTCTTTTAATTTTTTATTAGTTTTTAAGTACAAACTCATATGTGCTATGTAAAGTCACTTTTCATACAAATTGCCTTTGAACCAAGTGGTGTTGTTACGAAATGAGCACGTCACATCAATAATTGTTACCAATTGAGAAAATATTACAAAAGTATGCGAATGGATAGTCTGAATGTTGTCCGAATCAACAATAACTCTACAGCTGTAGAGTTGCTGTTTTGCCATAATTATGCCCTGTTTGCTACCACACGGGTCATCCTGGTTCAGTATTGCATGTGAATGGCTGGCAGGAGAATGTATTTATGGAAAATACGTATCAATTAAATAACAAGGTACTCTGAACAAAATACAGCAGTGACCAATGAGACGATGATACTGAAAGCGTACAAAAGCGTACAGAAACTCTAAGATTATTTCGGACATACAACCATCAATCAATTCGATCCTTGCGTTTTCTATGGGATTTGGCACAAGCCCATACTCTCAACGCCTTGTTGAAGTATGTTTTATAGGCATTGCTGCTCAGAAAGTTATTACCATTTGGTAATTTTAGTTTTGTATGTCTCCTGTTTATATTTTGAGGTCGATAGCTTGCCTCGAGTGGACCAATTTGTTCAGCCTTGTTAGATAGTTTTCCATTTTATTTTGTTTTTCCTGTCTAGATTGTGAGTAATATCTGCATTTATTTATTTGTTGCGATGAAAGATGAATATTATTTAAAGCTTTTTCTGTTAATTGTAATTTTTTAGTGATTAGTAATTATAATATCTTCATTGATTAATCCCGTTTCGATAATCTTATCTAATTGCGAAGTTACTACGCAATACCATTTTTACACGGCCAATTGATTAATTAGCCAATTGATTAATTAATAAGCTCATGTTCACTTTGACAATAATGCGTAATCTATGGTGCTACACCCTTGCTGTGTGTTTGAATTCCACGTAAACAAAGAATGTATCGAAAACGGCGCGTCGACCACCACCCTATAATTTTCGACCGAATTTGTTGGTACTTTTCCGAAATTTATTGTCATATAGTTATCCAGAGTAGGATATTTTTGTTAGCGGTTATGTCAGATTACATTACCAATGTTGTATGGCGCCCTCTAGTGACAAATGCGATAAATCTCAAAATGGCTGCGCCCATGGAAAATAACGTGGTTTCCTCCGGTTCTACGATTAGCGAAGATAAAAGTGTAAACGCAATTATTGTAGCTACCGTTACCACTGGATTCGAACGCCTGGCTTGTGACGAATGTTCTGAGAAACTCGGTGTCGAAGCCACACCAAGAAGAGGCAGGATACGTTTTGAGTTGCCACTTTCACAACTGCAGAAGGTGACCATAATTCCTTGTGAGGGGGTAACCCATTTGTTGAATGACTTGTTTTTGTATTCACCTTCACCATGGGAATAATGTTCGCACAGACTAGTTACGATTGAAGATGAGATTCATTTCATCTCATCATGTAATCTATATACAGTTTCATGAATTCGGTCGCACTCGGCCAAACGTAATCGCCGTGGTGTGAAGTGGTCAATTTTGAGCACCTATTATTCCAATCATGATAGCATTATTATAATAGTAGAATGCATTTAAAGCTAAATACAACATTATATAACTCCAAACTGAATGACAATGAGTGTATTTTTTTAATGACACTATATGGGTTCTCATTGTTAGTCCTTGGAAAACAGTGACTTACTCTATAAATATGTGCATCTGTTAAGACGTCCCCCACCTGTATCTCAGACATGTCTGGAGTGATCATATTCAAACATTGTAAGTCAATTCTTTTCTCAATCCAATTCAAGATGTCCAAATGGCTGCCATTTTTATACTAAAAATTCATCAAAATCAAGCATTTCCGCCATTCAATCCCGGTTGTGTTAGAGGGATTTACTATATATATATATATATATATATATATATATATATATATATATATATATATATATATATATATATATATATATATATATATATATATATATATATATATATATATATATATATATATATAT